AAAAGCAAACTGTCAAGGAACCTCAATTCCTTTTTATGATTTGCTTTTGGTCAACTCCAAATACTTAAGTGGTAACATCTGAGTGCGTTTGTTTTTGGAGGGGGTGGGGGTGGGGGGTTGAAGAGGGGGGCTGGCGAGGAATTATCGATCAAGGTCCATTTCTGAGCAAATGCGTTCCTACCCCTCCCCTGATAAAACAACGGTCAACTGATAACAAGATAGGGTTGTCGATGGGTTAGGGAGGGGTAGGTGCGTAGTTTCTTAGACACTGATGTTGAACCTGAAAATGTAATCTCTGACGTTTGAGTGACATGGGAACGAACTAGTCAGAAATTAATATTCTGACGATACGTTGAAGAGGTTCGAGTGGCATCGCGGTAGTTTCGGATTATTTAAGCGTTTCGCGGGAAATTAAGTCATTCTAGGTCAGTCAGTCTTAGGTTTGACCACTTTCTTTTTTCTTATTTAACGTAATTTTGTTTTACCACTCTCTGTAAAATATCACTGCTTTCATTGAATTTCCTGTGTGATTAGTAGTGTATTTAGGTTTATTTTAATTACCCTTTCCTCGGGGTACAGTGCTGCTGCATTAGATGAGGAATACGTTTCCACATATTTTTTGGCCACTTCTAAAGAGTGGTTTTTTAGTGGTTTTTCGTAGCTGGCGTAGCACAGGCTATTTCGCATAGTCCTTTAGATTCAGTAAATACTTCCAGTACATTGTAGATGCTTAGGATGCGTATTGTACAAGGCTGCTGACTCATATTAAATAAACTTTCACATTGAATGTCTCGCCTGAGTGTAGTCAGAATCTCATAATTTGTAAGCCACTCTATCTGAAGAGTTACGCGCACTCTTCTTCTTCGTCTGTGGTAACATGTGAATCAGAAGCTCTTGCGACGTTTAAAATTGTCCTCGCAAACTCTACCTTCTTTGTTCGCAGTATCAATGTTGCTTACTCAAGATTTGTATTCTTTGACCAAGATGCCTAACCAGCGTGTGTAAACTTAGTTCTTTTGAGTTACATTTGTTTCTTCCTTATTTATTTAACGCAGATAACAGCACTATCGAGACCTTACTTGGTAACATGGACGCCATGGAAAACGTAACGACATTGATGGACCCTGATGGAAAGTGGCAACGCGTCGGTCAACATTATAACATCGACCAGAGAATCCTTGATAACTTAAAGCCAGCTGATGTCCAGAGTCCAACAAAAACCGTGCTAGAATACATTGTCAAGAGGGAACCAACCGTAACCATGCATACCTTCCTAAGGTCTCTAAAAAATATAAAACGTCTCGATGTTATAGAGGACCTAAAGGAGTTTTTCTATGGTAAGATTATTCTTTCAAGTTCACAAACATGAACGTAGATACTTGTATATCCACTAGCATTCTATCATAAATGTTCCACTCTGTCAATTAGAACAAAAATCAGCATTTAAAAGAATAACGGGGGTAAAATTTGTAGGGATCTATGGTGCTGCGTCGGTGGGAAGCGTGGAGAGACTCTTAAGATGACCTTTCGACGGTTGTCCTTCATCAGAGCGCTCTGACGAAGGGCTAACGTTTGAAACGTCAGAATCTTCCTTTTGTGGCCAAATTACCTTGTCGACTCTGCTGATAAAACCAAATTGTCTTGTAATTGACCTCAAGTAAGGGACTTGGAAAAGGGACTCGACTAAATTGCTTACACTCAAGGTAAAAGAAGAGAAATCGTAACCAATGGTTAAAATGTCTTCCAGAAGGTATTTTCAACTTCAGGAGGTGGTGTTTTAGCTACGTTAATGTACACAAAAGTTCAGATTTTATAAGAGTAGAAGAGAGCACTCTATGCTGTAATGGTGAGGTTGTAACCAATAACGGTGAGTAGAACAGAGAAAAAAAATGATAAAACAAACCTGCGAAAAGGATACCGAGGAAATGCGCTCAAAATTGTGTAAAACGAGCGATGGGTACAACTACTTTTTAAAATGTTTTTCTTTTTTATTATTATTTCCAGCTGATGACATTGATGAAATCGTGCGGTCGGGAGGACCATTGCCTTCATAATTTCACAGAGTGCTAGAACTTGTGGCATTTTAAATCTACCTAATTGGGAACAAGACAGTGGTTTTGAAAACAATCAAGTTCTGCATAAACAGACATTATTCTTATTACAAAAGCATATTTTATTATAAATAAGCCATATCTTACATTAACGGTTACTGTAAGGATCATGTATAGTCCTTACAATTGCAGCTAACCAGCCCTTAACTTTCGATGCAGTGTTTGCAAACACTTTCAATCATCTATCTGAATAGTATGGATATATCAACAAAGTTGAAATGGTAAATTGGCCACCGTAACGATTACAAAAGCTGACGTTTCAAGCGTTAGCCCTTCGTCGGAGCGAATGACGAAGGGGCTAACGCTCGAAACGTCAGCTTTTGTAATCGTTACGGTGGCCAATTTACCATTTCAACTTTGTTGATATATCCAAATTATTTCGTTACCCCCACCGACGCAGCCCCAAACAACCACTCTCGTTAAGGCCGCCAGGGAGCTATTTCTTGAGTTACAGTGTTTTAGCTTGTTCNAACTGTTGTATGATGAGGGATTTATAGACGAGATACCACCCTGGTACTCACCCGACAAGCCGAAGCCCGTGTATGAGTCAGAGAATGTTAAAGCTTATTGGGATGTCCCTATATATGCTGATCAACAAGAGGTCAGATGCAATAGGGTGGATGCACGCATTGTAAATCATATGTGCAAGAGAGTTGTGACGCTGGAAATGAGCTGCCCGTGGGTTAACAATCGGACAAGAAAGGATGAAGAGAAGACACTGAAGTACGGACCCCTTCGCTGGGAACTAAGGCAGCAGTTCCCAGGCTACGAGGTGAAGCAATATAACATCATTATGGATGCCCTCGGGGGGTGGTCACGGGAGCTGGATGTCATGATGCGCGAGCTGGTGGGAGGCAGAAGCACAGACGTACTGCGAAAGATGCAGAGGGCAGTGCTCTCGGGCACGCTGAATATTGCCCGGACTTTCAAGGTGGCAGTTTAAATTCCTGTTAGAAGGAGGACCGCAGACACAACGGAAAAGCTTTTTAGGATTAGTTAATGTACATTTATTTTTTACTCCATGGCTCACAGGTTACGGTTTTCGCCCTGTGCTGCCTGATTAGAATGTAGCATTCAGTTGATTTCTCTGCGACATAAAATATAGATCGATTTCTATAGCGCATTTCCATGTAAATGCTCTAATGCGCTTTACAACACTGTGCGGGGGACTATTTGCTGTTACCGTGCAATGCGACCGCGTTGCAAATAAAATTTTACTTGTCCAATTTTTCCATTGTCATGGCTGAGGCTTTGCATAACGTACTCCCAATGTCCAAAACTGAGCGCGTGGCTTCATCAACAAAAAATTCGGAAAAAAGTTGCTTTAACCAGAGGGTGATGTTAATAGAGATTTATCTAAATTTTGCTTCAGGATAAAACTGAACGAAAGAGGTACATGGAAGACGAAGAAATTACAAGAAAGAGACTCCTAACACTTTGGCAATTAAACAACTTCAACAACCTTTTCGTTTTGAAACCTCAGCGTCTTCACAAGTAGTGAATAAACTTAACACTTTCACCCCTAGGAGTTGTTGGCATCCAATTTCTCTTCAAAAGATCACTTGAACTAAACATTAGATCCACGAGCATAAAGGAAATGATTGCCATTTAAAGAAGCTCTTGATTATTAACGGATTCTCCATGTTATTCTCATATGGAATGTATACAAAACAGTATGGAGAATATCTATGCCGATAACAAGGTGTTAAGGGCTTAAACGTCACTGTTTTAGACTCTTGAAACATTTTTTCTCTAACACCTCAAGCTGAACCAACAAAACGAGGTAAACCTCGGCACCAGGGCCTTCGTGGAATACTACGGACTACGGGCGCAGGTTAAAACCCAGACCTCTACAAGGAAGTAATCTATCTTTGCTTCTTACACTAGTAACAGATTGTCGTCTAAATTTCAATCTTTTTTTTTTCGTAGAATGGCACAAAGAGGAAGAGATGTGACTAGCTCTGCGTCGAAAATTACAGAAAAAAACCCTGGAGGTTCGTCTGTGACGACTGGAAGTGCGTGGATTGTGAGTGGCCTTATTCCAATTAACGCCGGCATCGATCATTGCCAAACTTCCAAAGGGATGCAGAATAACCAAAGTTTCTTGGTTACCACCAGCCAAGCGATGAGACTAAGAGAGGCCGACCTGATATGGCTAGCTGAATTCGCACCACGAGAATGGTTAGGCACGTTCAAAACCCAAGGGTGTTACTGTCTAGGGAATAACGCAATACATGAAGTCTCAGTTTGTGATAACAACACCAGGCTAATCCTGATACCAACAGAACATTTGCACCAGCAGAAATATTTCTCTGGGTGGCGAGAAAATGAGTTTCAGTCCAAACGTTCACTACCCTGTTGTCAGAAGGAGAACGAGTCGCAGGGTAGAGCAGCTAATGCACGACAAAGTGAGCTCTACTGTAACGTGCTAACAAACCAATACTCCGAGAAACGTTACCTCCTTTGCGTAGATGATCATGAATCTTATTTCTTGAAGTCCCATGGAAACGGAGTTGAACTTAGAAAGTTGGAACATTTTCAGCAGAATGAAATTCCAAAGGGTGCAATCATCCTCGACAAAAAAGGGAACGGTGTGGGATTGTTGGCCTTCGACGACAACGGAGAGGTCCGTCCGTTATTTTTCCCCAAAAACTTGTTTGGTAAGTACTCTTCATTTGATTCCAGAATTACAATTGTGTGCTTGTCTTTAAAGCATGATTGAATACCTGCTTCTCCAACTCAGTATGATGATCCCCAGAGTACTTTGCCTTGTGAAGATTGTGATCTAACCAAGCGAATCTTTTGATCGTTTCGCACGTTTGCAGCCTAGGCTAGATATGTAGCGAAAGCCATGGAGGCACCGTATGACCTTGCACAATGCTATTGCCTTGATTAGTTTCAAAGAAAATTACACACCATCTAATCTAGCATAGACTGCCAACATTCTGGAGTCACTTTGTACTTTGTTGGGGATAACTTCTCCCATATTGACAGCCATGTAACACTAGCGTATGTTCACAATATCATTACAAAATGTGACATGGAGTTAACAAACAGAAATTAAATTTTTTTGTTCCGCGAAGAACCTATTTCTCCATGGGTAAAGCATTTGCACTAATTCACTAAACCACCTTTGAATTTACAATGGGCACAGGTTTAGCTGCTCAGATTCTGTTTTGGATTATCAATGTAAAGTAATTGTTCTTTTCACTGAAAAACCTTGTAGGTTCCGATGAGCAAGGTCTTGCCAGAGGTTTACCTATAAACTCGTTCCTAAAAGAAAATAATCTTGAAGGTTCAGGTAAATTTAGTAAAGCAGAAGATCAGCTGAATATACAAACACCCAAAACATCAGAACACCAAGAACATGAAAGCAACAGTAAGAATTTTCTTTTTTTAACATTTGTCTAACCTTGTCACAGATTAGTCACCTTCCCCTTAAAACACCCGATAAAATCCAATTATTTCCCTATTCTTTGTGGCTCCAGCCTTTACACCTCTCATCAAGAACCTAGCTTTGTCCCTACCTTTCATTGCTTTTCTTCTCTGAAACAACTTTGTTTCCCTGCAGCGTCAAAGCAATCATGATTTTGTCAGGTCAAAATGATATCAAATAACTACTGATTGCAAGTTAGTAACTTGTTACTTAATCATGATCACAACTCAGTAACTCGGATTTGTAAATTGTATTTTTGGTTTCATAACAAGAAATGGAGATTTGGTAGCTTGTGATTGCAAGTTAAGATTTTTTATCACAACTTTAAATCCTGAGATCAAGACTTAAGAACTTGCTATCACAATTTACTACAATCATGATGACCAAACGTGATGTGTACTGTATGAGCTACACTTATGCTTATTAAATCAGACTTTAAAAACCACTGATGCCCACTCTTATGGAGATTGTTTATTATCTGTAATACGTTACTGCTCGTTTTTAAAATGTTTTGGCTAAATTCCCCAACTTATCCAAATGGATTTTTAAATCTTGAGACAAAGAGAGATAACTTTGCTCTATCTGTTCTAGACCTCATATTAAGGGTCCAGCAAAACAAAGCTGTTGTTCGTTGTAACGAGAAATTTTGTTAGGTCTACATCACATTTGCACAAATTTCAGAGTATTATAATCGTCCTTTAAAATACATCAGTACTTTCATCCACTGTCTATACTAGGAAAATAACAATACACAATCCACACTATTTTTTGTTGCAAATATCATCCAAAAAGTTTTGCTCATTATTAAATTCACTAGAGAGCAATGCTGGAAACAGCCGAGGACAACAAAGAAGTTGTGGTGATGGTGAAGAGGAAAAACCTCAGTCCCACAAAGGCCAACATCAGGTTGAAGAAACTTATGCCGTGCAAGAGAGTGAACTTGCTGGTGAGAAACAGCAAAGCATTAAGAACAAACCTTTGATCAAGAGATCATGCAGTGAACAACAAGCCACCAAAGAGAAACCAAGGCCTGACAGGTTGCTCAGTGAGAGGAATCACATACCTCTGAGAGAAGGTAGTAAATAATCAACCCTCCATGTGATCATTATGCAAAAACTTCACATACAATTATTGTTTCCAGAGAACACACCAGAAAACACCTTTCATTAACCATTGCAACTACTGCTAGTGTTGCTAATTCTTGTTGCTTTCTCTCCAGCCCCTTAATCTATCAATTTACTTGATCCAACCTCACTACTGTTGCAAAGAAAAGAAAAGAGCCAGAGATACTTTAATATGATAAATCAAGTTCAGGCCCACAAATACACATTCTACAAAAATGTGTAATTAACTATGAAAGTTTCCAGAAATTGTTTTAGATTTATCCAAGCCTGTTCAGGGATTGACACTAATTATTCAACTTGCTAGCCAAGTGGTTAGTGACAACTAAGATGTTACAACAATTCATTTTGTTTACTAGCCAAACTGTCTAGTGGACATCAAAAACCAATCTGGTCAAAACTGAATTTCTACCAGTCTGTGGCTAGTTGGCTACCATAAGTATTGAGCCCTACTGTTTTGTTTTTCCTCCACAAACGGCTCAAAGAGACAAGATTTTGTCCCCCACATTTGTTTTTTTTTAAAGAAAATCACAATTAGGTCTTGTCATGTTATAAATGCATTCAATCCCAAACATAATGAACTCAAAATATCTGCTGATAAAAGTCATAAAAGCTTAATGTGAATATGAGGGCTTGTTGTTTCACAAATTTGATTCATCATTGAGACACAGCTAATGAAAAAATTACTTTGTGTTACAGAGGAACTGGTTTCAGATGCTGTTTTGAGTGATATCTATGTGATGGATCATCTTAAAAACCTTCTAGACAGGTCTGTCACAGGCATAAAAAACTGGAGATACCTAGCAGATCTTAATGGTGTCCCTATAGAGAAGCAACTCAAATGGCAATTAGGTGAACATCATTCTAGATCTGAAAAGATGTTTGAAGCACTCACTTGTACAAATCCTGAACTTTCCATGAGAAGTCTAGTAAAACATCTAAGTGACCTTGGCATCAACAATGTGGCAAATTTTATGACTGATCTCAAACTTGAAGGTTAGTGTGCTCTCACTTGGATAATATGTGCTCTTGAATAAGTTGCTCAGACCCCTGTTAATTGCAGAATGGAAATAGTGTCCACCAGATAAATTTCAAACCAATGAGTGGTGAAGTCTGTTTAGTTATAATTATAACTATAACCCATAGCCAAGGCTGCGCTCTAAGGAAAACTGAATGGAGCCCAGTGCTCTGAAACTGTGAAATTCAGGGTGCCCAGCAAATGTTTTGTATGAAAAAGCTTAAATTCTTGAGTCGCCCAAGAGCAAACGTAAGGCACCAAGGGCCACTGGGGGCTGCTAAACCACAGCCTTGATAGCACATCATTATTGGATGTAAATTAATCTGGAGGATAGAATTACTCTGTCTTTGATCAAGTTGAGGAAAAGTCAAGTAATTAGTTCCTAATTGCATTAGTAATGCATCAATCAATACAAAGCTTCAACATCCCCCACTGACTCCCCAATCATTCAAACTTTGGAGATTGGTTTGTTCAAATTCTTGCCTACAAGGGCCAAAATCGTGTTCAAATACCCCACACTAGTTCTGGATTTGATCATATTAATTTTAATGTAGAAAGTAAGATTAGCAACTTTTCTTCAGAGTCATCTGCTTGCAAAAGTGGACTTTTTACCCTTAAAACCTCCATATGAAACTGCAAAACATATCTGATCAAATTACCCACTCCACCCAGGCAAGGTTCAAATTGCCCACCCTGGGCAAGGATGACAGTCATATGCCCTGTGGTTTGCCTTGGGGAAGGGGGGACATTGAAGCTTCAAATCAATTGGCATATGAAAAACCTAAGTTACACACTTAAGGATAGACTGTCAGACTGAAATCTTACCTAGAAAGGATCTGTTGAACTTTAAGAATGAATAACCTAGTTATGTGCTGTAGTATATTAACTGATCTTAATTATGGTTTTTTCTAGAGAGAAATGTGTGAATTTGCTCCACTCAATCAATGAGTCAAGAAATTGAGAATAACACCTAAGCATGCATAGATATGCCTATCACCACTGAATAATTGTTCATACCTAAATGCTTTGCATGGATGTTGTATGGAAAAGAGGATGCAACACTGCTTAAAGGAGGTTTTTACATTACACTTTGGTTAGCATGAACTCACTTGTTCATAACAATTTTTTCCATCATAGAGAACATGACGGCTGAAGAATTCTTTGAATTTCAAAATCGAAATGTCATTGGCAAAGTCCTTATGAAGCTGGATTTAATTGACAAAGACAACTGGTGGAATCTGGGAATTAAAATTGGTATGAGTGCCAAAAGTCTTAAGCAGATCAAGATCGATTGTGAAAATCGACAAGAAAATCCAGGAAGTCATGTGATAAACATCATTGCCACATCAGAACCCACAATGACCATCGGTCAGTTCAAGAAAAAGTTGGCGAACCTAGGACGTAAAGATGTTGCCCGGAAATTGAACATGCTATCAGGTAATTCAGAATTCATAATCATAGGAATACTAATTGTTTTAGTTTATGATGGTAAGATAAAATAGCTTAATTCCTCCTTGTAAACAGTGATACACATGAGCTTCCATTCAAACAATTAGTTTGTGTATTGACACATCACTCTGCCTGACAGCATAGACATTCCAAGCTCACACCTCATGCAGAGTTAAATAAGGTAAGTATCTACTCATTTATTAAACCATAATGCATTGTGTGATTCTGATAATGACATTCCCGATGATGTAGTGAGTGTGATAAATGGAAATTATCTCCTCACTATGCAATCTCACCCTCGTAATAGGGGCTAATGGCCTCTATGATAATTTCCATTTATCGCGCGCTAATCTTCATTTATCGCGCGATAATTTTTCATTTATCGCGCGATAATTTCCATTTATCGCGCGATAATCTATCATTTATCGCGCGATAAAAAAAATGTGTCATGTCCCCTATGGGCCACCGTATTTTACGGACCCTCTTGCCCCCTCTTACATGGATCGACACCGCGGAAATACGTTTTTCAGAGCACAATACAGTATCTTACTGCCGTACAGGCCTGATTTTTTTCAGGTCTGATTTTCGCTATTGCTTAAATAGCGCTATCTACTGCGAGGATCGTGCATCATACGTATCTAATACCGCAGTGCAAAATATATGAAGTTCATATACTTCATTGTATCTGATTTATCACTTTCACAGGTTTATTATAGTCTCCCTCGCAGCCGTTTTTAGTCTCGTCACGCAACGCTTCTCCCCACAAACGGCTGCTCACATTCGAACAACATTCCCTTTCCGCTACTTCAATAATACCGCAGTTCAAAATATATGAACTTCATATATTCATTGTATCTGATTTATCATCACGGGTTTATTACGAATCAACTTAACGGCCTGCTCCCAGTTGGCTTGTTAGCTCAATTGGTAGAGCGCTGCACTAGTATCGCAGAGGTCAGTGGTTCGAATCCCGTACAGGCCTGATTTTTTTCAGGTCTGATTTTCGCTATTGCATAAATAGCGCTCTCTACTGCGAGGATCGTGCATCATACGTATTGTTATTATTGTCTTTTCATGGGGGTCCGTAATAGGGAGTCGGTAAAGGGGGTCTGTAGAGGGTCCGTGGCCGTGGACCGGTCCGTACAGGGGTCCGCGGACCACGTCCGTAAGGGGACCATGGACTGGGGGTCAGTGTTTTCGGGACACCCGAAGTTTAGTCTGTTTCTACATGATCTCAGTAAGAACCACATCAAAAAAGTATCAAACCTAGAGGCACTGTGCTTTTTAAAGGTCGTTCGGTCTTTTGTAAGTCGCACTAAAAGAGCGTTGGCAGTTCAAGTCCAAAGCGACTTTGTAGTTTGGTTATGATAGTTTAAATATTATTGTAAAATAAACTCATTTTTTCAATAGCTCTGGAAGCAAGGGCAGGATACTTGACAACCTCGTTCCCCGGACCTGTTCCCTTGGTTGGGGCCGCCCCACCTCCAGTTAAGGAAAAAGGCCCTGGGAACGGGGTTGGATACTTAAACAAGTCTTACATTTCAGCAGTTGTCGATCTTTTCACTGGTCAATGCTATGATTACATGTCTTTTAACAGAGAAGTCAGTGATCGGCAAGTTGCTCGACAACTTAGACTTGGTTCGGGAAGTGACAAGCTTGCTCAATAGCCCTGATTCTCCTGTACTCAAAAACTACAAGGATCTGGCTGCTGATTGCGGAATTTCAAGGGAAAAGTATGAAAGTCTGCAGCCGCCATGTGCCGATAGCCCAACACAGAAAACGATTGAGGAAATCGTCCAGCGTAATCCAAAGTTTTCTGTGGAAGAGCTTTTCAAGAATTTGAGTGACATGGAACGTTTGGACGTCATAGAGGCCATTAGCCCCTATTACGAGGGTAAGATTGCATAGTAAGGAGATATAATCACATCCTATATCTGGCGCAAACTTTTTAAATAACCATTTAGAAGATAAGGAACCTGCGAGGCTAAATGAGAATTGATATCTAGTTTCAACGGCCGGTTCGAGCTCTACAACCATGCGACATTTGACTACACGTTTTGACCACCACGAATAGGATTTGAGGCGAATCAATATTTGATTTGAGACATTGGTGGGTGGAATCTGAAAAAACGAAATATTTAGGGTTGGATAGTAGGATATGTTACTTCGGCCGTCTCCCCCTCTCCCT